TTTTTATGCTTTTAATTGTATTTATTGTATTACAATTTTATCCTCACTTCACTTTATGATTTTATATTCCCCCCCCCTCTGTATTAATGTCATTATTTGCTATTTGTTACTCTGGCTTTTTTTTTATTGTTAACCACCCAGAGTGGCCTTGGCTGCCAGATATGTGCATATGTATGTGTATATATATTTGTGTGTATATGTGTATATATATGTATGTATATATATATGTGTGTGTGTGCACGTGTGTGTGTGGCTTTTGTGTGTGTGTATGTATGTGTATATCTATATCTCTATATATCTATATATAGTATATGTATATATGTGTGTTGTATGTATATATGTATGAATATATAAACAGTTGTGTGCTTTGCGTGGGTTAATATTTGAAGAGTCTTTAGAAACTGCAGTTGGTCCAGAATGTTGCAGCAGAGACACTCGTGGGCCTTGTCCATGGCACCCTGTTGGCCCATGTCTTGTAGCATCTGCCTGGATTGCCAATATTTTCTCTTAGGCACATGAACCTGGTGGCCTCCCTTTTGCCCAGGTGGAATGTCATCAGAGCTATTCAAGGCACAACTCGATTGTAAAAAGATTTTCAGCACCTTGGAGAGCACCTGTTGACAGGCTAAAATGCAGAGCAGATTCATGGCCCCATGAATTGAACTCACTGGCCTCTCCTGGCTGGTTATTTTTCAAGCCCTAAATGGCTTGACTCCAGAATATCTTACAGATCCTTTTCTTCTGCGGGAGCCTGTCCACTCCTAAAGATCAAGAAATAAGGCTCTGATTGCTGCCCTAGCGACAGTGAAACTGTCACTGATGGCGACTGCTCAGCAACTTGACAGTGGTCTTTGCCTGGCGATGTTGGGCAGCACTTTCTCTGGCTTTCTTTCACAGTTTGCTGAAGATTATTTGGTTTTGGCAGCCTTTTGTCCTCTGAAGTATCTTATTATGCAAAAGAAGACAAAGAGTCTAAAGGTTTTTCCTGGGAAAGGAATTCCAAAGGTCCTGCTCCTGAGAAGCCGTAATTCAGGTATTTACCAATCGTTCATCTTACTTGCTCCACTCCCTTATGACTGGATGAAATATAGATTACAGTCACACCCCGCTTAACGATTACCCCGTATAATGACGAATCTGTTTCACGATGATGTTTTAGTTGGGTTTTTGCGCTTTGCGATGATCGGTTCCCTGCTTTGGGAACCGATTCTTCGCATTATGATGATCAAAACAGCTGATCGTTGGGTTTTCAAAATGGCCACCAGCTGCTAAAAATGGCTCCCCGCTGTTTTTAGGAGCCATTTTTCGCAAGACAGGCACCCGAAAATGGCTGCCTTATGGAAGACAGTGAGTTATTCAGCCCATTGGAACACATTAACCAGTTTTTAATGTGTTTCAATGGGTTTTTAAAAAATTTCTTTTGACGACGTTTTTGCTCTACAGTGATTTCGCTGGAACGAATTAACATAATCAAGTGAGGCACCACTGTAAATGGATGCTTGACTAAATAAAAAATAGACTGTACGTGGCATGGAACATGGGGAGCTTTTCCAGATACACTGAAACTCTCGCTAAAAATACTTTGCAACTTTGTGAACTTTGAGAGAAGTCATTATGTCAGTGAGAGAAGGGAACAAAAAAGCACGGAGAAGATAAAAAGATACAGAACAAAGGAAAGGAAAGATAAAAGTTTGATTCAAATTTTCATGAGGTAGCTTTGTTGCCACCACAGATTCCTTCTCTATGGTTGGGTGGACAGTCTGATATTTGGCTTCAGGTGGGTAAGCTAAGCCCTCGTTTCCAGTTAATGGACTGAGAACAGCAACGAGTTTAAGAGGTTTTCCTTGTGAATGTTTAAAGCCTCTTCAACCTTCTCCTGGGATATCTCTTATAACGATGAATACGTGGACAGAAGCAAGAAATCTTTTTCTGAAGCAACATTTGATGCTCAGTGGCCCTAAGGAGGGCACTAAATAAGAGAAAGATTCTGCCAAGAAGAAACTAGAGAAGCTGGGATTTATAAACGGCACAATAAAAATAGCATAGTGTCAGACAGGAATTGTTAGACAGCTTTGGCGAATGAGGCAAAAATGTTGCTTTGTGATGATGATGACAATGGAGGAGAGAAGAAGAATTAGAACCAATTACCATGACATGTAATTTTTTCCTACGGTAATCTCTTCTCTGTGTTGGGCAAATAATCTGCCCCTAATTTAAGCACCAATATTCAGCACTAGTTAGGCATCACTTTGAGTACTTCAAGAAGGATGCTAGCAAGTTGGAACAAGTTCAGAGGAGGGTGACAAAAATGATCAGGGGGCTGGAAACCAAGCCTGATGAGGAAAGGCTGAAAGAATTGGGTATGTTTAGCCTTGAGAAAAGAAGACTGAGGGAGTGATATGATAGAACTTTTCAAATACAGTATCTGAAAGGCTGTCATACAGAGGAGGAGCAAGATCTGTTCTCAATCATTCCAGAGTGCAGGATGCACAACAAAGGGCTCAAGCTAAAGGAAGCCAGATTTCAGTTGAATATCAGTATGACAGTGGAACCAGTTACCTCAGGAGTTGGTGAGTGCTCCAACACTGGAGGCATTCAAGAAAAACTTAGATAATCACCTGGCAGATATGCTTTGATTGTATTCCTGCATTGATCAGGGGGTTCGACTTGATGGCCTTGTAGGCACCCTCCAACTTTACTTTTCTATGATTACTATGATTTCTATGAATAGGACGCATTGTAGAGCGTCTCGGTTGCTGTTTCCATATTGCTTTTTCTGTAGCTCTCTGGTTCAAAGATAGGAAGAAATTTGTTTTATGGATTACATCTTGCAGAAACAAACAGTTAGCATTAGAGATGGGTGTTTTGTGCTTTGTGCAACTTCATACAAAGCACGAAGCAGGGCACTACAAGTGATGCTGAGTTCCATCTCCCCCAGCCCAGCTGGTCCACTTGCTGGGCTCCGCATGCTGCTAGAGTCTTTCTTTGACAGTAACGCTCCAATCCAAGCAGAAGCGCAGCTAGTCTTTCCTTGCCTCCTCAGGCAGCCAACCACTCTGGTGAGGAGGCAGAATAGGGAGTCTCCCTGCACAGCTAATGAGTGGTTGGCTGCCTGAGGAGGCAGGGAAAGGCTGGCTGGACTCTTGCCTGGATTGGAGCACTGCTGCCAAAGAAGGATCCCAGCAGCATGCGGATCTCAGTAAGGGGACCAGCCAGTGTGGAGGGAGGGAGATGGAACTCAGCACCGCCTGTAGTGACATGCCTCGTATGCAACTGTACAAAGCACAAAGCACCTATCTCTTGTTAGCATGTCAATTGGGCACTGGGAGTGTAGGAGTTACATTCCAAAAAAGCAAATACTTCTCATGTCTCCTCTGGCTCACAACTTCTATTTATAAATAATGGAAGATGAAGGCAATTTTTGCATGTCAAGTATGTGGCCTGGGGATCCACTATTTGTTATGCACTGAACTCCATAACAAAGGTAAGTGTAGTAGGGATATATCCAGAGCTTGGAAAAGTCAATTTTGGACTGCAGTTTCCAGAATCCCTAGCGGCCATACTGGCTGAGGATTCTGGGAATTATAGGTTTTTTTAAAAAAATTTCCCTAGCTCCAGGAACACCCCAATCTCAACACAATTTTAAAAAAAGAAAACTTTTGGAATTCCATCTGTTCTGGTTTCCTAAGAACAGAATCATTTTTAAAACATCAGCCTGATTCAGCACCCCCACCCATATGTGTTGGACTACAGCTCCCGTTATTCCCAGCCACCCCATCCAACATTTATACATAACAGACCTGTACACATTGTTGTGAAAGGTATTATAGCTTCCTAAGGCAATCAGAGATCCCAGGCCTAGACCATAGGAGAAGAAGATCTGTGTGGCTGCATCCATCCAGACCTGCAAAGGAAGAAGATGGACTGAAACTATATATCCTAACTATCACCTGACAGCTCACAGACAACAATGTATTGAGGGCTTGCCCTGGTCTGTTTACATAACTGGGATCATCTCATCTTCTTCAAATACATTGTTGTTGTTGTTGCTGCTGCTGCTGCTGTTGTTGTTGTTATTGGGGTAGGAGATAGTACATGATGCTGATGTCAGTATCCTCAATTTGATCTAGTCCTAATGCTCCAATATAGTCTCTAAAGCAGGCGTGGAGACCTCAGACTGAATTATGCCTTGACGGCATCTCATTGCAGATGTCTTGGGTCCTACAGGTGGTCAGATCCTCTCTGTTTCACAGCTTCAGCTTTTATTCAGTTTTCTTCCCTCTTCTAAAAGGCTGAAACACTTTTCCTAAGGTTTAGTGACTGGCAAGGAAAGCTGGGATACCTTTGCTTAGACTAGGAATGTTTGTGAGATGGAACCTGGCCCTGGGGCTGAAAAGGTCTTCCTGGCTTTCCTAAGGCAATGGTGGACAACGTGCTGGGCTGCAATTCCCATCAGCCCTACTCATCATAGCCAGAAGTGAGGTATCTTGGGAGTTGTAGTCCAACATCATCACTTTGCTCACTCCTGCTTTCAACCTGTACCAGCCTAAACACATAGAATGCAAGCAGTGCTGGTGTTGTCTTCATTTCTCTTGAGCTTCCCCAGCTGTGAAGGACAGGCCTTTCCTCATAATTGTTAAAAACTAAGGTTGTGTACTCATATGGACATACAGAACTGTAGGCTAGCAAAAAAAGAAGAAGGTCATTTAATAGAAACTCTGAAATAGGGATCACACAAGCCACTTCTTATGGTAGCTCCATTGGCTGCCAAACCATTTCTGGGCACAATTAAAAAGTGCTGGTTTTAATAGGTAAAACACTAAACAGCATGGGTCCAATCTCAAAGACCGTGTCTCCCATTATGAGCCTTCTTAGGTGTTAAGATAATCAAGGGAGGGCTTTCTCTCAGTCCCACCACCTTGCACTTGGTGGGGACACAGGAGAGAGCCTTCTCTGTCGCTGCTCCCAGACTCTGGAACTGTCTCCCATGGGAGACCAGACTGGCCCGATCTTTTATGTTCTTCTGCAACCAGGTGAAGACTTTTCTCTTCAGGCAGGGTTTCTTATTGTGACTGTCTAATGGGGCCGTTTTATTTTTGTTGTTTCTTAATGTGTTTGCAGTTCTTGTTTAATGCTGCCCATCATTTACTGTTTTAAGCTTTTATACTGTTCATTTTTTAATCACTGTAATCTGCCTTGGATCCTTTTTAGGAGAAAGAGGGGATAAACATATTTTAAATAAATACATAAATAAAATTAAAATCTAAGGCTTAGCAGCAGAAATGTCCCTTGAGCAGGTAAACAGGTGGAGGGCAATTCACCGGGCACAATTTCAGGGAATCCTCAGTGCCTCACTTTGGTGACAGATCTGGGAGCCTCATATGTGAAACCAGACTGGATGATTTCAACCTGCCAGGCTAGCAGAAATGTTGTGCCCACGTATCTGCTGGAACTATCTACAGCTTGGCTGGCGGCAGTGGTAGGAGGAGGAGGCGGTTAGAGCCTCACAGCACTTGGCAATAGGAAGCAGTAAGTACAGCAAAGGAAAGTAACTTTTTCAAAAATCACCATGTCTCTGAATCCCAGTGGATTCCAAAACGGTAAGTGTTCCAAGCTCTGGAGAAAACAGCGATTACGTAAAAAACATTGCCAGATGCAAGCAAGAGCCCTGAATGACAAACCAGGGCATTTAGGAACCATCATTTTGGGAACATTGACTTAAATAATTCAGTTCTGATATTCACTTTGGGTTTCAGCACATTCTGGGACAACTGGCTGTTGTTGCATGCAGCCCTAATTAGTTCCGCGGGGATTAGGCAGGAGTACAAACCTCAGATTGGGAGAGTTTGCTAAAATCTGGTGTGATGTAAAAGAGGATTCCTTCCTTGGCTCCTGGCAAGGTGACCCCACGAAAGAACAGGATGAATAACATGAAGTAAGGGTATGTCGCCGAGAAGTACACAACCTACAGGACAGACACACACACACACACACACACATGCTGAGAAGTACACAACCTACAGGACAGACAGACAGACAGACACACACACAGAGAGAGAGAGAGAGAGAGAGAGAGAGAGAGAGTTCAGAAATGTTGATAAGTATAAAACTGAAATGCATTTGCCTAAAAAGATATCTCAATATGCATTGCTATAATTATGCTGATAAATAATAGATATGTAAATATTTGATTAATGCTAATATTCAGCATCTGATAGCTAAGGATTCTGTAACAGCTAGTGACACCCAACAGATAGCATCTGACATCTGTGTTTGATAATAGCTGACATTTGCGAATCAATTTTGGATGGTATCTATTGCTAACATATAGCAGCAGCTGCAGGTTACGAGCATCCAGCATGTACCAGTTGGAATGTGACCGTTGATGACAGGTAGCATGCAATAGCTGGTCAGCAGTTGGCAAGGTCTGACATGCAGCAGCGCTCAGTATCTAAGATATAGCAGCCAGTAGCTGAAAATCTCTTAGAGTCGATGTATAGCAGCAGTTGGCAGTTGATGGTACCTGACAAGTACATAGCTATCAGTATGTAGCAGTATTTGGCATTAGACATAAAGAATCAGTTAGTATCTAGTAGTATCAGAAAACAGCTCTTAAATGGAATTTGCAAAATTTCTATTAAGTTTTTTTTCAAACAAAACACAAGATCTTACATTGAAATGGCAAACTGTATTTCAGAAATATAGAGTAAATGTTGAATTTTGAGTTTAAATTTCATCACCAAAATAGGACATAAAATTTCAAAATTTAAATGAATCAGATCTCTTTGAGAGTACAGTACTAACAGTGAAGCCATATCACTGGGTCTAAAAAAAGGGTCCCAATCCAAAACATTGTATCAGTTTTTAAATGTGTTCCATTAATAATACAGCAATTTAAAAGGGGCCAGCATGGATTAAAAACCATCAGCTTGTTCATGTTCAGCGGAGTCAATTTGATGACTTTTGTGATTTTGAATTCAGGAGCAGTATCAACAACTGAATAAAAGCTGGACACCACACAAAGCAAATTTTAGTCATAGGGGCTGAGCAAAACAGACTGAAATCCTGTTGCTTAGTGTAATATGTCACACTAGAGTAGGCCCATTAATCAGCAGGGATTTGGTGAGTTAACTCCTCCACAAGTTCCATGAATTCAAATGGGCTTTCTCTAGTTGTAATTTACTACACTAAAGCAACTTGAGTAGGCCCATTTGAATCAATGGAATTTACAAAGGAATTGACTCACTAAATCCCCACTGATTCAATCGACCTACTGTAGCACAACTTACACCAACAGAATGCACTGTGTCTGCTGAACTGTGAACTGTGTCTATAGAGGAATGCATGCATAAAGGTTGTATTGGGGTATACAGCATAAAATACCTTCCCAGTCCATTCGACACCTTTCCAGATGGAAAAATACACCAGAACCCAGGCTAATGCGAGTGTGCCAGCCAATGGCCAGCGGACACTACCTGGTTCTCCCAAGCCTCCAGAGATCTCATGCATGTTTCTCCTGCAAGGGATTAGGGAAGAGATCAGAACATTTGACTATATTCGTAGACCCTCCCAGAGTTGTTGATGAGATGCAAGACATAGAGTTGCTTATGAAATGCTAAAAAGCATAACATTGAGAGGAAATAACACTTGGACATGGGTAAGGAGACCATTAATCACCAGAAAGGAGGGAATGCATCAAGGGGAAGGAAGGAAGGAAGGAAGGAAGGAAGGAAGGAAGGAAGGA